ACACACACACACACACACACAGTTCCTCTTTTGTTGTCTGTCTGGTTGTTTTGCAGAGTTCTGTCCGTCTTGATGAAGCCACTATTTTACCATAACGTATATGATGGCATTAGATAAAAATAAATCTTTTCTGAGATATATGATGTCACACTTCGTTCCTGTTTTTGGCTTTAGATTTCCTTTGACAGTTTCAGCAGGGTTTTGTATTGTTACGTCTCAGTTTTAGTGCAGTTATTCATTTATTTGAATATTTGGTTTCACTTCAACTTTATTTAAATTCAGTTCCCTCTTTGGTTTTTTGGGTAGGGGGTCTGCTGCGTACGAGAAATGCACAATGAGTCACATTAAACTCGTCTGAACTCAGACTAATTACCTCTAACAAATGCCACTGTGTCCACACTGATATTTGGCATATAACCTGTATCATCCTGTGATAAAAGGCAAACACGGCACATCAAAAACATTTTACTATTCGATTTTTTCATGGAATAATAAAAATATCTCAGTTTAAACACTTGATATGGTTTCTGTCTTCTATTGTGAATAAAACATGACTTTAAGAGATTTGTAAGATTTGTAAGTCATTGCACTGCGTTTTTATTTCCATTTTACACAACATCCCACGCACGGCTTTGATGTGCAGACCTGTAACTGCACAGCTCTGCAGTGAACCACAAACTATCGTCACACTGACTTCACCACAGTAGCCCACAAGTAGCTGCAGTGGGGTCAGCCTGACTGTGCTTGTATGACCCAGCCAGGCTTACAAGCCACAGATCATCTGATTATCAGATCATATAGTCATCATATAGTCCGGGTGTCCAAAGCACTATATTAGTATCTGGTGTATTTTTGCTAACCATGAGAAAAATTCCAGTCCACTCACAAACAGAACTTTAAATATTGCAGGTATATTTGGGTCAGTTTGTATGCATCCCTAGTCACAGAGTACACAACTTACACACACATGGCTGTGTGCAGTCCAGCATGCAGAGTGACAGTGAAGACTCTGTACAGGTGGAATCATCGCGGAAAAGTTCACTTAAAGAAGAAAGAGAGCCACAATGGAGCTCTTTGTGACTTAAAAAAAGAAACTATCAAAAAGCCTGCATGAAGAACAGACAGTTGGTTTCACTTCATTACAAACTAGTTGTCTTTTATGACATCTGTGTTCTCTGCAGCAACCCACAGAATTTTGACACTTCCCCCTTTGACAGATACAACATGCAGACAGTCTGCAGCGCTATGCTGAACTGCCCGCAAACAAACAGTCTGACAGCTCCAACTGCGAGCAGTTACAATGGACTGCTGCTTTTATAACTCTGTTCTACTTTATATATCACCCATTCACTTTTTCCACCGATTAATCACATTTGGACCAGAGAACAACATGGGGTCAGTATCCTGCCCAAGGACACTTCATCCTGCAGACTGGAGGAGCCAGGGCTCGAACCACCAACCGCGCAATTAGCAGAAAACCTGCTTAACATCCTGAGCTACAGCCACCAAAGTTTGGCATGCTGTGTTTTAAATGCTTCATCACCCAAAAACACAGTGAACACAGTCAAATGTTCACCTGTGCTGAATACTTCATGCACCTGACAAAGTATGGAAAAATTCATCATTTCAATACATTTGCAAAAATAAAGAACATAACTGAAATACCCTGGTCTTTATCAGCCAGGGCACACACATGGACACATCAGCGTTACGCTCTACAGTCATCTCCAAACATACGTCAGAGTGTTAGAAAAGAAGAAGTGGCTGCATCACATCCTGTGTGTAAACATTTCTCACCTTGACTTTCTTGCTCATCTTGTTGCGGAGGTAGCTGAATCTCCGACCAATTTTAGGCCCTCCTTTTCCCTCAGTTTCGCTCTGCAGGGGACCTGGCTCATCCTCTGAAATACTGAACAACACAAAGGGAACTTTCAAAGGCACAATGCTCATTTCTATTTATATCAGCAAATGTTTTCCTGTTCTCTCAAATAACTGAAACCCATTAACATTACAATCATGGGCCTGAAGAAACAGAATAACAAACTCAAATGAAAAACCCAACAGGATCAGCGTGCCATGCACTCAGTTACATGCAGCCTGTGCTGCATCTCTTCAGTATGATGTGCTTTAAAAGTGAAGCAGAGGAAAAAAAGATTTATTAGCTTCTCTTCCTACCTGGATGCCAGTGACCCAGAGTGACTGCAGAATGAGTTCACACCTGCATGAGGCAAAGATGACAATCATCATTTGATCAGGACAACACAGCTGTAGTCTGAACTGCACAGCAATGTCTTCAACGCCACAGTTACCAAGCAAAGCCTGCTTTTAGTAATTGGTTGACACGACAACAAAAGTGATGACTGATGAACTCCATTGCACTTCTAACCCTAATAAAATGACTAAACACAAAGTTAACCAAAGACATTGGCAGATGTGCTGAGTCAGTACTAGTGCCGTGCTCTGTATCACTGGCAAGAGTACCGTAAGAAAAATAAACGTGCACAGCTACATACTGTTTTTCAGATGTCAGCAGTTCCTTGATAGCCTGCCTTACCTTTTCTGTGGGCGGCTTCGTGTTTACAGACTGCATCCTATGTGCTCTGTGTAAGTGTCTCACCTGCAGCAGCCTTCAGCACGGCTGCTCAAACAATCAATCATTCCCTTCATACTTTGTCATGGGTAATATTACGACAATAACACTGTTTTAGTAAAAGAACCACCTGAAAGTAATGTTAATGCACTAGCTGGTCAGAGGTTTAGGTCACATTGAACACGGCACACTGAAAGGGAGACACTCGTCACACTTACACAGACTAGTTTATTAGTTTAGGCTTCTGAAGACAAACACGTGGGGTCCAGCAATGGGTCGACACATTTGAACTGCTTTGATGGTCAGTGTTACAGGGCACCAGACTGACAGAGGGAACACTACAGGGACATTCTTCATACTTACTCCCTCCCTCCTCCTCCTCATCACTGGAGGAAGAGCCAATGGAAAAGAAGCGTCTAGTTTTTGGGAGGAGCGGAGAGATACTGACAGAGAAGCTGATTCGTCGCTTTGATGGAGGAAACCCACTCGCTAAAAGGTATTCATGGGTGCAGCAGGATGAAAGAATCTTAGTGGAGAACGTCGAGAATCTTTACTTCTCAGAACAAACGAGAGGCAGAGACAGAGGACTGAGAGACTCACCCTGTACGTCCCGCTGAGTGACGGTGACCATGGAGATGGATTTGGTGAGAGTTGGATGATGAAAGATGGCAGGACAGCTGACAATCAATGATGTCTAACAAAACACAAGAAATGAAAATGACAAGTATATAAATCCGTCCTCTCATCGAATAACAAAGCAAAAAAAAGTAAGAGGACACACCTGGCTATCAATGCTGCTGCTGTCTCCTTCCTGCTCCTCCTCGGTTAGGGAGGCCAGAGACCCCCTGTCCAGGCTCTCCACCTGTGAACTCCTGCCTGCAGCCACCACCTCCTGATCACTGATGCTGGCACACTGTGTCTGGCCCTGCACCACTTCTGTGCCCACTTCTAGACTTTCTAGACTGTGGCTGGATGAAAGGAGAAATGAAGTAGGACCATGTTTCCTGACTCAGGTGGCACACTGTTTTCTGCTGGTGATGTCAGTGCACGGCTCCTCCACTTATCACTCAATACTGTAGTATAAAACCAGTGCTCTGCTCTGTGTCTGTCTCCTCATAGTAAGTGTGCTATGCTGAGTAGTTATTATTTTACAACTTTTATACTTTTATAGCCTTTCAGGACTTTCTGCCAACTTTCTTTTAATTTAGTTCCGGTTCGTATTCATGTCCAGGTTCTATCCATCCATCCATGCATGCACAATCCTGATTTATACACCAGTGTCGCTGGTGACCAGCTGTCATAGGGCGAGAGGTGGGGGTAAACCATGGATGGGTTTGACTGTTTTTACATCCTGGACGAACCCCCAAATTGTTATATTTCACCAAAAGACTTGGGCAGAGAGTGGAATAAGAATAAAGTGTCTGGGTGGAAAAGCTGTGCACCGGCTCCACAAGAGAAAGGAGGCTGGCACCTGGAGCAGAGAGAGGAGAAGCAGGGTGCAGCCACAAAGCACACAGCAGCCTGCTAGGCTGAACCACACGTCTAACCAGACCTCATTTCATAATGCGCATTGGTATGTTGTTGTGTCATCTTTCTCTGTGCTCGTCTTACATCATAGTCAGAGGTTTTAAGTCGCTCTTCTATCGAAGAGCTGTTGAAACGAAACAATATCTGTGTATTACTGTTGACTTCTGCCATTTACCTTCTGCTGTCTATTTGCTCCTGATCAGGAAAAACCAGGTTGGATGGACACCAGCTCATACTGGAGAAAGGGACAGATGGGGGACGAATTGTGAGAAACATGCAAAGAAAAACAAAGAAAAGAAAGAGAAGATGTTTGATGGCAGGGGTGTATTAAAACAAGAATTAATGATAATGGTGTTGTGGTGAGAAAGATGTGTCTAAGCTGTTAATTTAAGTTTGTCTGAAAACTGGCACATTGCTTTAATTCATAACACTTGGACTCACATCACAGCAACACAGCCTGAACTGCACAACTCAATGCAGAAAATACTGTACAGAGGTAATAATCATACATCTCAGCACTACAGCCAGAGTTTAAGAGAATCTTTCCATCTCCACCTCAGTCTCAGCACACTTTGCTGACCTGCTGCTCTCACTGCGCTGATGACTTTTCCACTGGATGCCATGCTTGGGCCAGGGAGTGTCTGTGTATGCCGTGTGAGTAGGCTGAGGCTGCACTCTAGTAAGAAGGCAGGAATGCAAGCCTGATTCGGCTGCTGTGAGGAATAGCGGTGTTGCACTCACACTCTAACAACTCAGTTTAAGGTTCTTAACATTGCCTCACATTTGAATACGTGTTGTCCTTTTCATCAGTAAATCAGTCATTTCTCAGCTGTTTCTGAATGTGTGAAACACAACTCACAGAAATATCAGCCTAGACGCACAAAAAGAAAAAGTATGTGGCCCTGCAAGGAAACAGAGGCAGGCGTGAATAAAGCAGGTCATGGAAGACGGGGTTACCTTCTTCTGTGGAGAGGGGTCTTGGCTTGTTTCACCTCTCCTGAAACGGTCTTCAGTGAGCTGAAGGAAGGGGCAGGCGGACTGTTGATGACAACAGGAGGAAGATACACTCGTGAACAAAGGTGTGGAAGCTGGCTTTAATTTCTCCTGCTGCTCGACACGGAGCAGATGCTCGGCTGCTGTGTTTGCACTTACTGTTTGCAAACGCAGTTCATGTAACTAACTCTGAATGCAATTGTGTTTTGAAAAATATCAGCCAATCTGGAATTTGACGTCAGCAGGATTTTTCAATAAAGTTGGGAGCGGAGCATCTGTTCTCGTGTTGACACCAAGTGTGTGAACAAGGAGACCCATCAGTAAAGTTTTAAAAGCCAAATGAGACAGATTCTGACCCGATACAAGGCTTAAGCTGCACAACAAAGCACAATTTCAAGGCTACCCGAGCATTAGACAGCACAACTGACTGATGCCAAAGCCACAGATGTTGTTCTAGTCCAACCAAGAAGGCCTCCACAATGCTAACATGCAGCTTTGATACAAAGCTGCATCTTAGCATTCACATCTATGGAAAGAACTCCTTAGACAGCACAACTATACAGAGGGTCATATTTTTTACTTAGAAGATGGTCCTTTAGTGGCTCAGTGTCAGAACAGCCCGAGGTTCCAGTACCTGCTCTGTGAGAGCTCCATGTGTGTGGCTGTGTTGGTCCTGCCCGGCTCCCAGCTATGGCGACGCAACGGAGACAAGGAGCGACTGGATGTGCGCAAGACGGCTGATAACACTGGAGTTTCTGGAAGCTGGTCTTTTTTCTCTTCTTCATCGCCTCCTCCCTCTACCTCTCCTCCTCTTTCTCCTCCTCCTCCTCAGATGTATGTCAGAAAAAAATATTACAACCACTCACCGGTTAAGAATGAACACGTAACAGGACACATGCAACACACCCAGCACATCGTTCAAACAGTTACTACAAATACTAATGACTAATGTTCTAACTCTGAAGTAAATGCTGAGAATATGGGATGTTTCACTGGATTTCACCAGAAGCTCATTGTGTCTGTGACCTGAGTGAAATCTGTCCTGATCTACTGTGCATAGCAACAGACAGATTTACTTTCAGCTCACAGGCAGACAGACAGGAAGTAGAACATGCCAAAGAGCTTGTAATTATTAACTTCTTCAAGGAAATAACAGTTTCAGGTATCACTGTGTGCTTTACCTCTGTCCTCTGTTTCTGACATCCAGGACAGTGTGGAGCTCTGAGGGGACACAGCGCCAGATGTGTCCACTGACAAAGCTGCTTTGCTGGGACTGACAGCTTCTTGCATCAGTGCATTACTAGTGGAGGAGTGGGCGCCACAGGCCTGGCTGTCCATGTGCCCAACACCAGTCTGAGGAGCCTCAGGCTGGAGAGAAGGGGAGAAATGTGAGGTGGATTTTACAAAGATGTAAACAAACACAAAGCTAGGGCACTGAGACACACACACACTGTAGTAGATTTTTAATATAGGATATTTTAGAAGCTGGGCATTGGAGTGATTTGAAAGGGCCCTGTAAGAAAACGTTCTCAGGGAAAGAGCTGAATGTGGTCTGTGGAGGATTATGAGAAAAGCTGGTGGAAAAGGCCTCTTCCAGAAAAAATGAGTCACTGCTCACACTCTCTGACCAGCTCCAAATATTTCTCTGTGACAGCAGAGAAGTTCTGCTGCACCAAAACTGCTGATATTTTGTATGTGTGCGTGCGTGTGTGGTTATGGGAGTAAGGAGAGCATTGATTATGAACACGCGGCAACATTATTTCATACAAATGTCAAACACGTTGTGTGGTCTGATAAGTTTGGATTTCCTTCAGGTGGCGGGGTCAGACTTTGATGTAAACTCCTGCCCAGTGTCAGTGGCTCAGGCTGAGGCTGGTGGTGTATGGGTGTGGGATCTATAAGTCGAGCTATCGCAGCTGATCGTGTCCATCCCAGTATGACCTCAGTGTACCGTCTTCTGATGGCTACTTCCAGCAGGATAAACACTGCACTTCAAAGCTCAATTGTCTGCACTCAAAAGCTCCCAAAAAACCCAAGAGCCTCTCAAAGCAAAGAAGCGACGTATTCGTCAATGGCCAAGTCAGTACCCTGATTTCAACTTAACATGCTTTTAAGTTACAGAAGATAGAAGTGAAAGATAAAAACCCACAAACAGCAGCTGCTCTACAGTCCTGGCAGAGGATGTTAAAGGAGGAAACACAGCATTTGGTGATGTTCTTGGGTGCTAAACTTCAAGCAGTCACTACAAATTCATTCATTCTTTTAATTAAAATCATGTTTGATTAATTAGGTTTGAGCCTCTGAAACTTTGGACTATGCATAGAAATGTCTGTAATTCCTCAACAGTTAATGTGGTATTTCACAAAGTCTATGTGTGTGTGTGTGTGTGTGTGTGTGTGTGTGTGTGTGTGTGTGTGTGTGTGTGTGTGTGTGTGTGTGTGTGTGTGTGTGTACCTTGTGAATTAGACCATCATCCAGCTCAGGAGTGACGTTCAGGCCATCTTCCACCGCCGACTCTCCCTGCACCAAACACAGTGACACACACGTTCCTCGGTCTGTGTGAATATCTGTGAAGAAGAAGGAGGAGGACGGTCAATCACTTCCTGCTGAGTGAGCGAAAGACAACATGAGTTGTCACATTAGAGACTGTGGCATGCTATAGCGCTGGTAGAAAGGAAGTTTATCTCATATCACACCAACCACAGAGAAACAGCCTGCCTGTTTCTCTGTGGTTGGTGTGTGAAAGCACACTTTATCTGATAAAGTTTAAAGGTTAAATAAATAAGCGAACATTAAGTGCTCAAGCTTTAAATTTACTGCAATAATAAATGAAAGTTTATGTTCTGAATTGTACCATGTGGCTCAGTGAGTGTTTACATTCATACAAATATTCTATTTAAATAATCTAATTAATGTATTAATAACAATCTTTGGTTTTTGCTACTGATAACTCTACTCAAATTATCATTAAATAATAAAATAATCCATTTTAATGCAAAGTTTTCGTTACAGAACCTCATCAGAGATGCAGTGAAATCAGTGTTTCCACTCAAAACGCATTTAAAACCAAGCCTACAAAATGCTAATCACGTGTTATTACATGGTTTTGCATTTTGCAGCCCTGATTCAAGTGTTTGCAGGCGATCATCACTCTTCCTTATGTTTGATTGATTCAAATGTTACTATGGAATTAAACAGAAATAGCTTGAGCCGTGCTTATTACAGTGGAACTATTATAAGTGTTTCCACACATCTCCATCACATTTTACAGCACATTAAATACGAGTTCTTGAGGGTTCTGCTCAGCTGTACTGGTAGCAGGTAAACTGGTGTTAAGATCTGGTTACTTCCTTTCAAAATAAGTGGATTGACAGTCTGTAAGCCTTACCTGTACATGGTGTTATTGCGTTGTGTTCAAGACTGGGCTGTACAGGACAGAGCACATGGCCTTCTCTCTGGATCTAACAAAGAAACACAGAGGGAGAGAAAGCAGAATGAGGCTGCTGTTTGCAGTACATGAGTTTTCCTGTAAAGTTCTCTGTGCTGAGCACACAGCATTGTGCTCCGAAACAAGGATGAAGAACTAAGCGTCATCCTCAGTTCTTCGCAGAATTTTTCTCTGAGCGTTCTCAGGTGACACAATATGACACTGTCACACACAAACACAGGATCCACGCGTGACTGATGACAACAGCCGTTCGCCCACGTACTGTGTGTGCTGCATCTGTGTGTTACATGTTGATCCAACACATAGAGAATGATTGTTCCACACACACAGCAGTCCAGTGTAACATAAGACCGATGTAGGAAGGCTCCTTTACCAGGGTGCAATTCTGCAATTGTTCAAACATCAGCTGCTCTGAACTGCTCAACATCCCTCCGGGACAACACTTTTCCAGCCTGCATATGTCTTTAGATTTTTAATGTTTTGGGCCATCCAGCTGACCAGTTTAGTAGCAATTTCCTTGCTACTAAATATTCCACATTCCACACTGTCAGTGAACTTATGACAAAGTGGGACTGACTGGAACATCAACTCAGTCGTGAAGTGGTCGGCCACGCAAGACTACAGATCAGGGTCAGCGGATGCTGAGGTACACAGTGCACAGTCCGCAGCTCTCTGCAGAGTCAATCACTACAGACCTGCAAACTTCATGTGTCCTTCAGATTAGCTCATAAACAGTAAGAGCTTCATGGAATGGGTTTCCACGGCCAAGCCTTACATCAAATAGCACAATGCAAAGAAGTGTTCTTTGGAGTGATGAATCACACGTCTCCATCTGGCAGTCTGATGGAGGAGTGTGGGTTTGGCGGTTGTCAGGACAACGGTACTTGTCTGTCTGCATTGTGCCAACTGTGAAGTTTGGTGGAGAGCGATTATGTTGTGGGGCTGTTTGACCTCTTAGTTCGAGTGAAAGGAACACTTAATGCTTCAGCATACTAAGACATTTTGGAAATTTCATGCTCCCAACTTTGTGGGAACAGTTTGGGGATGGTCCCTTCCTGTTCCAAAATGAGTGCATAACAGTGCACAAAGCAAAGCCCGTAAAGACATGAGAGAGTTTGGTGTGGAAGAACTTGACAGACTTTCTTTATACTCGTGGCTTCTGATGGAATGTACAAGTCACAATTGTATGTTTTGTGTTTAGGGTACAGAAATAATCACTGTAAAACTGCACGATGGCGGACTGAACAAAAGACCACAAAGACCTCTCTTCTCTGATATCATCTTTAAGATAAATGTGCGTGTTTAGACAAAGGCTGACTGAAGTCTAAGGGCTGGATATTAATGTGAGTGAAGCAATGAATTGTGTAACTCCTACTACTTTTGTCACTGCTGTAGGCTGGGCCATCGCAGTGATCTCATATTTAGTTGTGTGATGGTTAATCAGTAAAGCCAATGACTCCTTTGTCTCGCTGACGACTGTCTCAATGGATCTGTTGTCTTAGCTCCATGTTTCCTGCACTGTCTATTGTCAACATGCTGCAGAAAAAGATCCACACAAAAGAGCAGCTCTCCAACATGTAGGAGACAACAGGCAGCATTTGTCACTCTGCACCCATGCAGCATATGCTGGACAGTTGTTTGGAGGGTGCACACTTGATTTAAAGTGAACACTCACTTTAAATCACCAGAGATAAGTACATTTAATGAAATGTATGAAGCATGTGAACTGTTCTATCCCAGTTTAATGAGCTTGAATAATTTACCTGTGCCAAATAAAACATATGTTTGTGTATGTCGATTGGCGATCTGTCCAGCTGATTTGAATCATCTAATGCTTTCAGTGAGTCTGAGAAAGAACATTCCTTTTTCTTGTCTTTCTTGTCTTTTCTCCCCTCGCTCCCAACCAGTTGCAGCAGATGCTGTTAGTTAAAAGTTAATAAGGGACAATCGCAGCATTGATACACTACTGACATTGATAGACTATTAGCTGTTACAGTCTGTTACATTCTGTCAGTAATAGACTGTTTCTTAATCAGCATGATCAGCATCACAGCTGACACAGCTGAGATGCTGTGTGTTAACAGCAGTGCTGTCATCTAATGCTGGGGGCTGTCACAAAGCCTGCTCTGCTCTCTCATCTCTGCTGGGAAGAGCTGATACGTAAGAAGCAAGCCAAACCAGCCCCCGGCAGCAGGATTTCATTTCTGCATCACCAAAGTAGAAGTTGGAGTTCTATTGCTCTGAAAATTGTGTGAATAGGAGTAAAAACAGAGAAACTGTAATGCAAACCATGCTTTGTGTTACTCTCTGTGACAGCATAAAGGCTGTGGGTGTGACAATTTCACACTATCACCAAAACACTGATCATAGTGATATGTACACAAATCTTCGTATATATATGTGTGGGTTTGCAAAGAAGATGCCAGTGAACATGATGCACACACCCTGCCTTCTTCTCTGGACCACAGCTCATTTAAAATGGACTGAAGCAAAGTAGGAAACTGTTCTGAGGTCAGACCTTTCCAGATTGTTTTTGGAAAACATGGGCACCACATCCTCCTGACTGAAGACCAAAGGAATTAGGCACATCTGGAAAGGCTCCATCAATGCTGAAAGGTATAGAGATGTTCTAAACCAACAGATAGTCCATCCAAATGACACCTTTTTTAGACGACTCTCCATATTTTGCATAACAATGCTAACCCATGTATGGCATCTGTTAAAGCATGGCCGACCTGGCCTGCTATGGCGTTATTTTTGTGACCCTCACAAACTGAGAACATCTGGAGCATCATGATAAGAAAGAAGAGACAAAGAAGAAGAAGCCAGGACAGCTGAGCAGCTAGAATCCTGCATCAACAACATCCCTCTCCCTCAAAATAACTGGCAGGTCTAAGACTTTCAACAGCAGATGAACAGTATCTGAAAGTCATGTCTTTAAGAAACAGGAAAAATCTGACAGATTTTCGAGCGTCGTGTACGACATGAAATCATTTCGAGGTCAGTAAACACAACCAGAATTCAAACATAAGGCACACAGGATTATAAGGGGCACTGTCGATTTTCAGAAAAATCAAAGGATTGATTTTAAGTGTGCCGTATTTTCCAAAAAACACGGTAATAACGACGGCCCGCAAGCATGCTCTACCAAAAATAGTGCTTTGTTGTGTATCTGACGGACGAAAGCTAAACCAGTTCCACAACACTGAAGTTGCAGCATTTTTACAAACCAGTTCAACAATCCCCTTTCGCCCTTCTCATTCTCCGTCGCCGCCGTGCTTTTTCCAGCATGTGCGTATAAAAAACAAAGGCATGCGGGTTTTACCCATATTCTATCGCGATATTTCATTTTCTTATCGTTGCCCGATATTATACCGGTATTACCGTGAACGGTATGATATGCCCCAGCCCTTGGGGCGGCTATCAAGAAGCCATTTTTAATGAAGGGAAACAGGAGGAAAAGGCTGAGGTACCCTACATGACACAAGAACTGAACTGAAAATCTGTGGCAAGAGGTCTGATCAACCCAAATTAGATTGTTTTTAGTGTGAGTTAGGATGAGAGAAAGTGATTCTGTGGACAGGTGTCCTTCATACACACTGAGAGTTTAGATCAGGAGTATCTGCAACTCACTGATTGTCATGTGTGTGCCACATCTGTGGGAGCCACAATTCTTACTTGCTGTAGGGGATCAAATACTTCAATATTTCATTCAGTGACATGCAAATCAGATTATAACTTTTATGTAATGTTTTTTCTGGATTGTTTGTTCATATTCTGTTCTCTCCATTAAAATGAATCTGCCATAAAAGGGAAGTAAAAAAAAAAGGGAGTGAGCAAACTTACAAATTCAGCAGGAGATTACAGAATTATTTCCCTGAGTGTATCTACAGAGGAGGGCAGGACAGAGGGTCCAACACTGAGTGTCTGCAGTAAAACATGGTGGAGGCTCTGTCATGGTTTGGGCTGCTTTTCAGCCAGTGGTGTTCGACATCTTGTCAAAATCGATGGAATTATGAATGCAGAAAAGTACCAACAGATTTTGATCCACCGTGTAAAAACACTTGTAAAGAATCTGACTGGCAGCAGCTTCATTTTATGTAAATACAACAATGAACCCAAACACACTGCAAATATAGTAAAAGCATTCCTGGAAAGAAAAACACAAAGTGGAACACCATCAGTTATGGACTGGCCTCCCCCGGACCCCGGAACATGCATATATTTACATGGACGTTCGTTCATGTTTATAAATCACCGCACAGATTTCCTAACAAAATATAAAGAAATGAGGCGTGGCTCAAGACTTCTGCACAGCACTGTATCTAAAGTACATATATGAAGGCCATGAGTGACTGCAGGACTCTCAGCCATCAAATCACCAGCTTTTTTCCCTACCTTAATCAACAGCACATCCACAGTGGGCTCTCCTTTGGCACAGAAGCTGTACCTTCGCCTGTGCCTCTCATACATGCTGCCAGTTTCACCCTCAGCTTCTAACAATCCAGGTCTCACACACATGCTGACAGCGAAACATACTGCAGGCAAAAGCTCAGCTATCGCCCCGCTCTCCACTGTCTGTCCCGACTGCAAATCTGTCACAGCAGCAATGATGGAAACAGCCGAGGGAGGAGTACGAAGGAAAAAGGTCCAACTGGAACTTTGTGCAGTTACAGGCAGCTGATTTACTTGAGGTGAAACGAGAAAACTTCACAAAAGAAGAAAACAGTTAGTAGTATATCCAATTAGCGACATGAGAAGAGGGAATCCAAACCAAATCCACTTAAACAAACAGTGAAAGAACAGCTAACGCAGATCAGTGTGCTCCTACTCAGAGTAATCCTCTACAGCCTGCGAGCTCTGACGAGGAGACTTCCTGCACACATCTGTTTATAACACCAGCCCCCTCTCCATCCCTCCTATCCACCCGCTTCCTTTTTCCCTCACTGCCTTCTTCCCTCTCTCTCTGTCCACTCCCTCCATCAAAGGAGCCAAATAAGAGCAGCAGAAGTGGATAAATAGTGACTATGCCCTGTGCTGAGTGACTGTGCTGAGTGATAATGTCATATGTGCTGCTGCACCCACATGCACAATCACTGCCACATCAGGGTGACATAAACATGGAAAACAGACACCTGCAGTCAATGCCACTGTAAACGGATGAGAGGAGGAGTACACCAGGGACAGGCCGCCAATATGTTGCAAGGCTAACACAAAGAGACATACAACCGTTCACACGTACTGGACATTTTCAATCACAGTTAACCCACATGCAGACCTGTGACACACACCCACATATGTACACACAGAGCACACAAACAGGCTTGACATCAGAGCGCTCGGTCAACACTGCACCAGCACACAGTTCTCGTGCTGAAGTTACAAAAATAAAGAAATCAAATTTATTTCTGGCATGCCTCATATTTTCAGTATTTGCTTTTTCACACTACAGCTCCCACAATGATTTGGGTACACCTTGGGGAAAAAAAATGTGCAGTATAATGAATAAGTTGGTTGAAAAACAACACGTGTGTGTGCATATGCATGTGTGTGCATATGCATGTGTGTGTGCATGTGTTGCTGATAACATGATGAAAGTCATTTTTAATAAATTAAAGAACTCTCTCAACAACACAGAGCTAACTTATAGTCAGTAAGTGCAAGAAATCAGCACCACCTGTGACCAATCAGCAGCACACAAACACAGCGGTAACCACGGTAACAGCCGAACACCACCCAGCTCTGACAGAGTGAGAGACGGTCACATCTGGAACTTTTTATACCTACTGAAACCACACGGGGGCAACAAAGAATACCCGAAAATGAGTGAGTTCCTACAGACTGCATCAGAGAGCACACAAAGAGAACACAGGGTTCAATTTTCAATTGAATTCAGTTTTATTTATATAACGCCAAATCACAACAGCAGCCACCTCCAGGTGCTTTATACTGTTAGGTATAGAGCCTACAATAATACAGAGAAACCCCAACAATCAGACAACCCACTATGAGCAAGTGCTTTGGTGATAGTGGGAAGGAAAAACTCCCTTTTATCAGAAGAAACCTCCAGGAAAACCAGACTCAGGGAGGGGGCGGCCATAAGCTGCGACAGCTGGAGACGATACGAGGAAGACAGGAAGACTTGTTGCAGGAATTGCTTCAAGATCAACCCGAGACAGTGATGAAGTTCATGTCCTCTGGATGCAGAGAGCACTTCCATCAGCACAGAAAAGCTTCCTCGTGGAATAAAGGTGATAAAGATGGTCACTTCACTACAGGGTTGAGAGGGTCAGGATTTTCCTTTAATTTGTCACCGAGCCGTACATGTAAGATGTGAGACTGTATCAGCTCTGGCCTAACTGCATTAACAGATCTGTTAACAGAGGTTAGCAAACCTGCTACCTGATCCCAAACAAAAACTAACTCAAATGTGGACACAGTGGAACCCAGGATCCTTTAGAAAGTTCCACAAACATGATTCAACAAGTGATTTCAAAGTCCTATGATCACTTTTATGGAAAATAAATAAAAGTGCCAAACATCTGAATCAAACACATGGAAATCCAGCAGTTTCTCTAAGACTCCAAACTCGACCTGCTCATCTTCTCAACAAGGTAGCAAAGTTTTACATGAAAGCGAATAAAGCAGGGTCTCCTATACCGCTCTGTGTACTGTACCTCCCTCTTCCGTCCCTCCCTGACTCTGACATTACACCCCAGGGCAAGGTCTCAAGGTTCCCATGCCTCCCACTGTAACCTGCAGCTCTATGATACCAAACAGTGCGTCATCAGGAGTCATTAGAGAAGGATTTATATGGTGTCAAAGGAGACCGCGGCCTGGCCCGCTCTGATCTAACCCCAAAACCACAGAGAGCAAAACTAATGTTCATATGCACTGCAGGAAGGAGAGAGGAGGTGGGCTTGTGGGACCTGAGTGTGGCACTGAGCTGGTGTATTTGTCTTAGCTGCTCGGTCTCCGTGCTCCCTTGTCCGCTCTGTCAAATAACAGGGTTTTAAGGGGGTGGAGCCTTAGCTTACTCTCCAGAAAGTCTCAGTACTTCACTCCTGCAAGAGCCTGCAATGATCACATCACATCTAGCCAGCTGCTTCGCAAAACGTTGACAGGTTCAGTGTATGCAGGTGAGACAATAGGACAGACTTGCCTGTGACACTATGAAACAGTCACTCCACTGAACAGAAGCTCACCTGCAGAGTGTGTGCGCTGTCCCAGCCTCTCTGCTCCTGCTCTGCTGCTCCTGCACACGACAGAAAACACCATCAGGTTAGCGTGGACACTCACTGGCTTTGAAAAACGCATCAGCCAGCTACAATATCATCCACAATACACAGAGCACAGCTATATTTAGAGGGTGGTGAATCAGTGATGAGAACAACAACATGAGGTGGTCGGATCAAACAGGCCAGTCATTGCACACACACATTAACTCCAAAGCCTCTGAAAACAAGGAAGTGATGTCATTGTTCCAGGAAGAGCAAACACTTCACTGAAAAGTGATCAAGGTGTGTGTTTTGTATGTAAGGAACAAAACTGCAGTGGTAGGCACACGTAAAGGCTAGGTTTTCTCTGTCTTAGCAGGGCAGAATTATGAGCCTGGGCCTCTTTCAGCTAGCTCTGGTGCTAATGCTAGCTGGGCCTCAGCACGGGTATGTTTTTAAAGTGTGAGTGCTTGTATTAACCTAGCGTCGAATAGTATAATACTCGTTTAATGTCCCGCTGTCCTTCGAGGCCTTTGCTCAATGGATCAGAATCTGAATTGGACACACAGAAACACACACACACACACACACACACACACACACACACACACACACGGGAACAGAACTCATACCACAACCATATTTCCACCTACCTCTAGTTTTACATTTAACTGTTATGATGTTATGATGTTGATTACATCATCACGTTTCCTGGATACAATGCAAAATATAAACAGTGCCTCCGAAACCAAGAAAAGCTAATGCTTACCAACACCGCCACCATCACAACACACACACACACACCTTTTTTGGCCTGCTTCCACTCAGTCTCATTAAGAATGGAGGAATGTTGTAACTGATGCGTTCCAGTCACTCCTTCATTAGACCAGGAGAGAACTATGGAAGACTTTCACCGTCTCAATCAAGTATTCAACACTATGACTGCTCATGTGACAGCTCTTTCCAACACTAACTTATCTTTTCAAAGAGTAACTAGACCATAGACACACTCTTCAAAGGTTAAAAAGAATTTTAAAGAACATTTATGTCAGTCTAATGAATGTGGAATGAGATATTTTTGCTATGATGATTCTGTTGAAGGAAAGGAAGAGGTTTGTGGGGGAGAGGAGGATGAATGATGGTGACAGGAAGGTGACGAGGACAGGAAATAAAAGAGATCAAAGTGACAATAAGAGACATGAACAAAGATGTGTTTGTGTGTGTGTGTGTGTGGGGGGGGGTGTAGATGGAGTTACCTGTGTGGGATGCATCCTCCACTGTGAGCTTCTCCACTTCTCCTCCTTTCTCCACCGTATCCAGACCTTTAAATACACCATCCTCAGGGTTCACACAGACACAGTCGTGAGCTTCTCTTTGGTTTGTGCCACCGTCAGCTTCAGGATGGCTTGCAGTAAGACTATTGCCATTTGCTGATGACAGAAGTTCAGCTGATTCCACAGGAGCAGTAGTTTCCTGTGGAGTGGGACTAGTTAGGGAAGCTGGGTTACTGGGGGTAACAGGAAGTGCTGAACCACTCTGATGTGGCATTATAACCAGCTGTGGCTGGCTCTCCTTTCCTGGAGTGTGAGAGTGTGAGGCTGACAGGTCTGCACAGCACTCACTATCTTCTGATCTATCCTGCCACTCAGCATCTCTGCACTCCACAGAGTGACCGCCGTCTTGATCGGGGATCTCTCTTGTTTGAAAGTGCTGCTGTCCATCTCCCTCTTCAGGACAGGCAGCCTGATCTGTGAGCAGTGGATTCTGACAGTGGGACTGGCTCTCTCCGTCTGCCTTAGCTGTCATCACCTCTGGCAAAGGTTTGTTATCTTCTTCTTTAGGTGGTGAGCATGTAAAGACTTTGCTGTGCAGACTTTCTTTTTGAATTTCCTCTTTGGGCTGTTTTGGTAACTGAAGAGCTTCAGCACATGAAGGTAGGTCACTGTTAGCCTGATCGTCTCTGTTAGTTATACAAGATATCTCTGCAGAAGGTGCTTCCTCTGCTGTGTGAGCAGACACTTGTCTTATAGATGTGATGTGGTTAGTGAGGTGAGAGTGAGAGTGTGCTGCAGGCTGGTTTTCTGTGTCAGCTCTGGCGATCAGCTGTGGTGCCAGCTGTGAGCACTGAGTCGTGCTGAGGCCGACTGCACCGCTCCCCTTAGCTAATGATGGACTGGTTCCTGCTTCTTTGCCAGCACACACTTGACTCTCTGACATATTGTCTAATAAATGTTGGCTAACTTCTATGCTAACCACTGCTGATGCTATTGCTACTGCTACAACAGCTACTGCAGCAGCAACCACATCTTCATCATAGTTCTGCTTCACCGCTCGCCCTCGCTCCATGGAGCACGCCTCTGTGGCACTGTCCTCGTCACCACTCTGGCTTCTTTCCTCAACTCCTCCCTCTACGCCCACCCACATGTCATGTCTCATTTTCTCCGTGTGCTGCTGACCTCTCAGCATCTCAGGGGCCAAACAATGCTTTAAATATTCCCTTGAAGTGCTCTCAGTGCTTCCTTCCTGAATGTGAAGGGGAGCAACATCCGCTCTGTCGTCAGCTGGTACAAAAGCAGCTTCTGTGGGACGCACAGATTCAACAAGTCCTGCTGGTGTTCCTGTGGGATCCACACAGTGTCCTGGCTTTTCCTCCCTGAGCTCTGTATCCTCCGACTGTTTAACAAATTCCTTTGGATACTTGGAGTTCGCTAACTCGATCTGGATCCCAGACTCTGTGGCTGTACAAGTAACGGTCAGATCATCGTTTGGTGGCAGAGCCTCAAGATCAGCATTATCCGGTGCTGGCTGGACAGGAATGGCAGGCATCTGTGATTCCAGCTCTCCAGGGTCACGTCCTTGTGTTGCCTCCAGCTGCACACTTGTATTTATCTTTATGTCCACCGTACTGACGTCTGCTTCACCGAATTCTGAGCTCACGGTCTCATCCTCCAATGAGTCCTTTCTTCTTTCTGTGTGTGAAGCTGTAACTGGAGTGGAGTGTGCTGTCAGATGCTCAGTGTGACTGAGCTCTTCAGCAATGAAACCAGAGTCTGAGCTTGTAACATCACCGCCAGCTCCATGAGCGCTGCGGGCCTGGATCTCCGTGTGGCCGGGTAGGTGCATGGCATCATCATCGGCTTCCTGCTTCCGGGCCGGCTCAGAATCAGGGAGGCAGCAATCGTCTGTCCTCTGCGTCTGTGACTGGATGCCGGGGTCTGTTGCTTCTTGGCTTTCTGACTGAATCTCTGTGTGACCCTGAGATTCTGTACTAGAGCAGGAGCTAAGTTTGGCTTCTCCACCTCCTCTCTTCCCCCTCTTCTTTCTCTTGCGTTTTTTGCTCGTTGCTAGTTTTTCTCCTCCCTCTTCAGCGCCTGCTGTTTCACAAATCCTTCTGCTGAAACTTGTCTCTCTGTTACTGGCCTCTTCTCTGTCTCCTTCTACTCCTGCCTTCTCCCAGTCTGACCTAACTTCCTCCTCTCGCTGCACTTCCCGTCTTTGTGCGTGTGGCCCATGTGACAGCGCTGGCAGGTTTCCAGCAGCATGTGACTGACTAGGAGCTGCAGACAGAGCCTGCTCTAACAGCTGTGGAGAACTAAGACCTAAAGCTTGAGGTGAGCTCGCATCGCAGTTTCTCTTCTGTGTCACTCCTTGCTCCAGTTGTCCGGGGATTCTCTCACCCGTGGTGCCACTGTCGTACCAGACTGACTGCGAGTTCACTTCTGTTCTCCCGGAATCTTCACTGGAAACTTGTCCGAAGTTTTCTTCCTCATACCAGATGGTTTTTCCGGCTGCTTCTGGTCCCATTATGCTTCCGGTCCAGCCTCCATCCCGCCATAGCACTCTCCTGCCTTTCCTTTCAGCATGTGTGGACTCGGGGCTGGCTCCCGGGTCAGATGAAGGACTTTTCTCCATAGTGCCGACTGGGCTTGGCTCCTCTTGCTCTGTCTGACTGTCCTGGGACTGCTCCTGACCCATGGCCACTGAAAGGAGACGAGCAGATTAGGGACTGCAGAACAAACAGGTCTATCACAGCTTAACTCTTAACTCTTACTCATCAAATGGATTACTCTGATCTGGATCACACACCCAGCCCAGACATTACACACCACAGCTGCATGCCGAACACATGAAACAGTCCCTGACCTGCCAGCTCAGGTCTGTGATGTCAGATGGAGCGGTTAATAGTTTGTTGAACCCCGCCTAAAACAGACACACTACATCTACAGCAGTGAGAACAGGCCTGACACAGACTACCTGCAACGCTGTGATAAACCGCAACTTCAGACAGAGGCGAGCAGACTGATGATGAGCTGGGATGGATTTCTGACTGACCTGCTGAACCTCATTTTCCTTCCTTCATGTATCTCAGACTGCAGCAGGTTTTGTCTTTAGTGATGATGACACAATCCCTACACAACAACAACGCCTTAAAGAACTCATCTTTAATGTGAGCTAACAAACAACCACCGGGCTCCTTCAGCTCTGTGGAGTTTGGATCTTACTGCTCATCGTGTCTCTATCTGAGCAAGCTGTTTGCAGAGGAAACAGGACCAAACACACACACCTCAGAAAAAACCTCATAAACATGAAAAAGCTCAGATACTGTCTTTGTATGCACGTTTTCATCAAACAGCAGTTTGCACAGATGCACAGATGTCTCGTTTGTTACTCTTTGAGTCTTTAAGTAACTGAACAGCCAGAAACTCACAAGCTCATCATTCCTTTTCTTCTTCTCTCTGCACAGCCTGCACTTGTTGTTAAAGAGCGTTTCGTTTTTGCCCACACCTCAGACGACGCACAGCACAATAAAGTTGTGTATTCAGTTACAGGACGTACCTGTCCCATCTGCAGCTGATTCCACTGTGATTTCTGCGCTGACACTTTGTGTGTCTCTTCCTGTCTTTGACACCAGCTTACGCATCGGCAGCTCCACTTCCTGTTTCTGGTCTTCCTGTTTATCTACGACACTGGCCGTAGGCAAGGCAACCACCTTCCTGCCAGCACACTTCCTTTCAACACCTGGTCCCAATACTGGCCTTATGGGTGATGGAGTTTCTTGTGTTCCTCCGACATTAGTCACGGTCGCCACTGCTCGTTGTCTTGGTGAGAGAGTTCCACTTCCTGTTGCTGTGCGAGGCCTCCGTGCACTTTCTCGGCTCTGGTTTCCTGAAGACTCTGCTGCAGGTCTTGTGACTTTGGCAGTTCTCTTTTTGTTTTTCTTGTTCCTCCCAGTGCGGGCAGCTGCTGTGCCCTGGTGTTCCCACCCTTTTTCCTCTCTTTGACAAAGACCTCCACTGGTACAGGATGTTTGACTGACAGCAGCCGAGTCGTCCCCTTGTGTTCTCTCCTCCAGCGAGTGGAAGCCTGAACTCTGAAAAAAGGAAAAGAAATACAAATGAATCGTATATGGAAACATGCAGAAATGACCCACGAAGCAGTTTAGCACATCGTTTGCTCAGTATGCGTGAAAGACAACATTAGCAGATGGATGGCTGTTACCCGAACGGGTGATCGAAGCTAATCTCAAAACTAACAAAAGAGTGACGTCCAAAAGAGATGATCTGTCACAGCCATCAGTGCCTACAACTGCTGATAGTCATACAGCTCACTCACTCATTAAGGAAACGAAGGCTTCGCATGCCTACCACAGCAACCCACTGTATGTGGAACTGATCCCTACACTGCAAACAAGCTATCTTGGCTATCCACTCACATGTTCAGGCCAGCCATGAACTGTCAGGTGAGCTGCATAAAGTAGGTTTAAAACCTGAAGAAGAAAGGAGACACTTATGGGAATTTTAATTTCATTTGGCCTTCACTCCTCTGGCTCACAGACCTGCAGGAAACAGCAGGTCACAGTCCAGCGTCTCACTCTTCTGGTCTGACTGTGACACCTGCTGGCTGGGACAAAGTACTCTGTTACTTCAAGCTTTCCTGTAAGGTTTTCCACTGGGTGGATGTTATCACTTCATGGAAATCATGACGCATGCCACATATGCCACACCTGTGCAGTATAAACAGTTTAATGCTCCTCTGCTGGTCACCTGTCTAGGACAGCTGGCTCTGTATTAGCAGCAAAGCCCATATTTATGCAAGCTCACTTTGTATCCTGGAAATGATGCATGTGTGAGCACGTTGAGCCCTGGGAGTTTCCCTTTGACCTCATTATCCCATTGTCATATTACAGACACTGCTTAATAGCATCGCTACTCACCAAGTTACCCTATAAAAAGTTCACACACACACACACACACACACACACACACACACACACACCTATGACAATTAGAATCTAAATATAATAATGAATGAAAGCCTCATGCAGCTACAAAGTAGCAAAGAAACAAGCCAAATTCCATCAGCAGCCAGGAACAGGAAAGAGCTGCAAAAGTCTTTCTGCACACTGTGACTGTTGATGTTATCTACTCACCACGGTGGATTTGTGACCCTCCATCAGCCTCCTCAGCTCCATCACTTCCTCCGGTAAACAGCAGCGCCCCCTGCTGTCTGTCCCTGTGTCCCCCTCCCTCTGGAGGAGGAAGGTTAGGGTGTAGGTACCTACACTGGCATGGTACTGAAACACTTGACCTTTGGGGTAAACCTGCAGTGTCTCCTCAGCTTCCGCTTGAACATCTGGGAGCGTTGCATAGCTGCAATGACAACAACAAAAAATGAGTTTTCTTGGTTTCTTCTGTAGCGCACGTGCACAGATCCAGATACCAGGATAACAGGAAACACAGAGAAATACAACCCCAGGGCTCCTACCTGTTCACAGGAATGATTAGAACAGAAAGTAAAGTCACAACGAGGGAGGAGCTGAATCAGGAAACTGTGCAAGAGCTCAAATAAAGACACACTTCACCTCCTGTCTCTGAGACACACAACTCATCCATGCCCTCCCTAAAGAGGAGGAGCCCTAACCATGCAGCCAGATCACATCACAGAGCTCAAAGCTACTGATACACACACACACACAGACACACACACTTCGATGTGTTGTGCTCTTCTCAGGGACAAAATGAATGCCTCATGTTTCTGTGAACTCTGCCAGCTCCCTCCCTCTGATTCAAACACACAAACATTTTCCAGGAACTTGGAACGTTGCTGCTGGGACAGGATCTGATCTCTAACAGGGGCCCAAACATGTTGATGTCATGTATGTGTGTATGTATGTTTTGTGTTTGGGAGAGCGGGGTCTTGCATCTACTGCTCGTCTCTTTCCTAGCACTGACTTTCTGACCCCATCAACAGGAAATCACAATCACCTGCTCTCTGATGCCTGCTGCAGGTGTCTGTCTGTTTTATATGCTGCTATTGTTGTTGTACAGTCATCTGCAATACTGCCACCTACTGGGCTAGTATATGTGTATTTAGTTCTGCTGTTCTGTGCAAAAATGACGCCCTGCTCTCTGATGAATGTGCTGGGGATAAAAGTTCTGGGTACTCTGTGTGTTTGAACACAGCTATGAACACATCATTGTCACCACGGCTTACTGCCTCACAGCCACAATGGCACTCGTGCATACACTGTGGTAACTGTGGCCTGGAAAACAGATGTTTCGAAAATGAAAAACAGTAAGGTGGGGCAACGGCACAGTTTTAGGTGGGGTTTGTTTCCTCCGAACAGTCATTTAATGCAACGCTTCAGTTCACCTGCAGACATCCAGCTGCACCGTCTCGTCCTCATCGGTGACAGAGCTGTGAGAGGCCTGGGCACACAGCAGCAAACACACAGCACCCAACTGTGTCCTCAGCTGCTACAGTCTTTGCACCACCCATTCAGTAAAGCTGCTGAGGCTTTGAAAAGGGACCCAACACTTCATCCAAAGCATGAGCTAAAAACACTAACATCATCTCTAGCTAGCATCTGTGGTGCTGCACATATTCACTGGATCCCTTTTAAATATATTAGGAGCTTGTTAGTGGAGCTCAACAGGACAATAGGATTAGTGGCCACACTGAAGACTGAGGGCAGCAGTGATGAACACACTGACCGATCACAACACAGGACAAAACACACACTGTCCTGGTGCCTTCCAGCTCCCAATGGTGGCCACCAAAGTTTTCATGCCTTTAAAAATACTAATAAAAATAAGAATAATCTCCATATTTCTCTGGCACTGAATGCAAACCAGATTTACTGAAGACAGTTCTATTTCTATTCAGTTTTATTCACAGCAGCAGTTACCTCAACACGCTCTGTATTGTAAAGACCCACAGAGAAACCCCATTTGAGCAAGCATTCGGCAGCAGTGGGAAGGAAAAACTCACTTTTAACAGGAAGAACCCCTCAGGGAGGGGCAGCCAACTGGAGCCCTGTTGTGTGCCGGAGTGTGTACAGAAGAGTGCAGAATGTTGTCATTGTGTTTCAGTTCCCAAGCTTCTTGATGAACTCGGAGCTTTAACCTCAGTTAGTACCCGTTAATGAGCAGTACTCACTGTGTGAAGAGCTCCAGAAGTGGCTGCTTCCCTCTGCTCTTTGCAAGACATGCTGGAGCTGAACCCTGAGTGTTCGTCCTTCGCAATGCCTCCTTCCCTGCGGGCTGCTGCAGGAGGAATGTTGGTGCCGTCTTCAGACCATGACTGGCTGCGAGCTGCAGCAGGCTGGAGGGCTGCTGGTGCTCACACACAGCTGGAGAAGAAGAAACGAGAGAAAATGTGACGGTTGGATTCAACTGAAAACAGAACAGCTCCTGGTGGACAGAGAAGAATAGAGTAAGGGTGGCTGTAGCTCAGAAGTTAGAGCACGTCATCTGCTAATTGGAAGGTTGGTGGTTTGATTCCTGGCTGCTCCAATCTGCATCCCAAATATCAGCCTGCGTGTCAAAGTTGGGCAACATACTAACAACCTAAAGTTGTTCCATGAACATCTGTGAATGTTAGAAAGCACTCATATAGAAACACGTGCTTGGGTGAATGAGGCATTTTGTATAAAACGCTTTGAGTGCTCTGATAGAAATGCACCATATAAGAGCCGGCCCATTTACCACTAACTCTGTATCTTTAAGAGACGTGTGTGTGATGAAATGTCTGAAAACAACAAGCAGAAATAGTTAAAAGGAAATGTATGTGGGTCATGTAGCAGTGCTTAGAGCATCAGGGGGGCTGCCAAACAGCAGCAGAAACAGACTTGCCTCATATTTAGTGGACCTAAAAGGCTTCATGAAATGTTTAAAGCTTCAGTGGGCAGAAAAGTACAAACACTAAACCAATGCTGACTTAGACCGTAGTGAAGATTATAACAGCAATTTGGTGCTGACTGGAAGTCACGCAGCAGGACACGGCGCTCCGCTCAACAGTGACGTTCAGTGTAAACAAGGAGAACAACGGTGCTTTTGTCTCCATTCATTCAAACTTTCATTATTAAAGCTACAAAATCATCCAACGAACCATCTGACGTTAGAGAAATCTCACTGTTAATGGCAAAGTTGAAGTATTTCGGTAGGAAAACCTGATTAACGCATCCAAGATAATTCACGCACATTCATCATGTGTAACAAGCTTGGAGCACGCAGGTGGAATTCATTGTGCACGCGCTGCACGACTGTCATGAAGTGAGTTGGGTGATTCTGAAGAGTCCTTAGTGAGCTGTGTGTGACGTTTGAGGACCACTGCTGGTGCTGTAAGACAGAAAAACCTGCTAGCTCTGCTTGTGTTTACTGTTATAAACAGAGACTTTTCCTTCTGGCAGAGTGACACGCAGACTGACTGAACACGACTCAAACCTCTGTTTGCATTCTCCTCAGCCTGCTCTGGTGACCTTTTATAGAAACACGTCTAAACGTTTAGCTTTATTATCCAAGTGGCCTCCAACTAGGCCTTCACTGCAGTCCCTGAGTCCCTCTGGACAGTGTGTGTGCTGCTGGTATTTGGATTATTTTAATGTAATTATCTATTAAATAATATAGTTTCAAGTGCAGTTAATTGTGCTAACAGACCATATGAAAAGGCTGTGCTTCAGTTTTGGTGGATGTTAGCAGTTATCTGTGATGCATTCATACAGCCCATGAATGCAGCTCATTAAAATCTCCATCCTCTTATCGCAGTATGGAGACTTCTGGCCACAAAATTAAGATGATACCAGCTCAAGTTTTTAAAAAGCTAACTTCACAAACCCATGACTGCGGCTACTCTACGTCCATATCTTCTTCATAGGTTACCAATGAGCTGTGGGTGCAGATTACAGCCACAGGACTTCTGTGAAGTTGCACAGCACTGGGTGTGAGCCACCAACCACAATGGCACCTGCACACCACCACAGGGAGACATTCTGTCCAGCTGGGAGGAGAGGACAGGCAGACAAAGATTATGCTGCAGGGATTACATACCCCTTATAATCTGGAAGCACATGCGCTCCCCATGGAGAGGAAGTAGCTTGTGGGTGGGACACCTGGTCTTCTTTGGTTAAGTGCTATGTTGGTGCATACTGAGATAAAACCCCTGTGCTAAAGGATGTATGAGGATCACAAGGTTCAGCTTCCTCAGACCGCCGTGGCTGCTAATCAAACGTGTGTAGTGCATGTCTGCAGGTGGAACCAGATAAACCTTCATAATATTCTGCTAAACATTCTGAAGCCGGGACGCTGTGTTGTGGGTTCTGGCTCGGCACCTTGGTGAATACAAAAAAATTAAATAGCAAACCTTTAAAATTACACAATATGCAAATGCCATCTGAGCTGGAAAAATCCGTCACCGTCTGAGAACTGGAAGAAGACTGACCCTGCAGGGGCAGCCTGTACCTGTCTGTTCTCAACCTCTTCCAGGTGAGGCTGACTCTCACTGCAGTAGTTTGCACAGAAATCATGCTCACTCACCAGGGCAGCTGCTCCAAAATGAAGCGACATCCATCCGTGTGTCGGGTCTGGTCGTGTCCGTCACTGTGACCGTTCCCTTCTGCACATCTGTGTGTGTGCTGCAGGGTGCTTGTGGTGCAGTCCTGCGGTGAGACTGGCTGACATGCTTCAGGGCCAGGCTCTCAGCTTCCTCTGGACTCTACCACACAAACAGAGGCACACTGCTGAGCACTTCTTCAAAACTCTCAATTTCTGAGTTTCCTTCTAAATACCAGCAGCTTCAGGACCCCTCTGTCTCTTCTCACTCACCTGCTCCCGGTTCAATAGGAATGCTTCTGTGTGCTGCACACCACACACTGCAGTCATCATTCAGATACACTCCTACAGGCTCTTTGTCAAACCTGTCAACTGTCAACTCAAGTACATCTGCTCACATCTGCCTGTTTCCTCACAGGGATGTGTGTCACACAGCTTTCTGCTGCCTAATCATCATTCTTAAACAGGATGAACAAAAAAACATCACCCTCCATTGTGGAAACTGCAAACATGACCTGCAGCACACACTCATCACACACATGTCACAAAGGTGCCCTATGCTCTCAAACTGTGGTACCTATATTATTTTATAATATATATATTTTAAGAAATCCTTAACCATAAGATCCCTGAAACTGAATTTGTACTAGGTTTTATCTTGCTTGAGAAACAAAGTATGTTTGTTTTTACACCAGCCAATAGGGTACAGGTTTACTAGCATAGCCTCCTGACATCTGACCCACATTAAACTCATGGACTGAACACACACCCACAACCACCTACGCACACACAATGGACAAAAACAAACAAACAACTGTACCCTCATACACACAATAATAACATGGACTGAACCACCACTCACAACCACTTGCACTTTATATAGCCTCTGTACATTCTGTACAATACGATAATTATAATTCTACAACTGTTTACAACTGTTTATAACTTGCATAGTTCATATTTCTGTATAGTTTTCATATTTATATCCTGTTCATAGCCTGTACAAAGCTTGTACACCCACTACAGCCTGTACATACTTATAGTTATAGCATATTCATAACATACCTTCATACCGTGTACATTGTAACATACCCATAATAGACCCATATTTTGTACCCTCATACCTATAACAGACCCATTTCTGTAATATATCTATATATCTATATTACTGCTAATATATATTTTGTAATATATCTATATTATGGCTAAAGTACTTTCTGGATGGATGCAAACTCTGATCTGTCTCAGTCTCAGTGCACACAGTCTGAGAACTGAGTTGTTAATAATGTCCCTTGATGGAGGTTTCAGTCAGGTATACTTGTAGTTGTGGGTGGCAGTCATTAATAAGTAATAATCATATTAGAAATAAAACTGGCTCATGTGTACGTCAGGATTGTAAACAGGCCTGCTGCCTCACAGTGCTGACTGCTTTCTTCAACATATGAAGACGTCTGCCGCTCTCTGTTGTCAGGCACGTACAATCCAAACTTTAACACTCTTGTGCTCATATTGGAAGTGATCAGTTGCTGCAATAGTCTCACATCATTTCCATCCATCCCACCAGACACATGACATCATGACAGGGCTGAACCAAAGGAGCTCTTTAATGCTGTTACCTGTATAAAGGAGAAGGTCTGCTGCGAGTGTGTGTCCACTGATCCATCAGGGCGAGCCAAACACAGTGTCACCAAGACCTGTTCACACACATTATGGCCTACACACACACACACACACACACACACACACACACACACACACACACACACACACACAGTCAGTTTCTGGCAGGTGATCTACATGCAGAGAACCTGATACGTGATGTGTGCTAATGTGTGATCTATGGGTGGAGTTGTCAGCAGCACATCAACAAAACCATCAAAATTATCACTCACTCACCAACAAGTTATCTACCTCAGTTCATCCATAAGACAATTAAAGAGTAAACAAATTCACTAAAGCATGAAGTATGAAGAACTCAGTACAGGAGTCTGCACTGTGAGTCTGTACAGATGGTCCCAGGCTCCAGATCCCAACCTAACGGAGCTCAAGTCTGGATTAGTGGAACCAACACAGGACTGCTTCAGTGGACGGTGAAAGCAGGAGGGCTCTGTAGCAGCTCCACTCATGTGAACACACATACTTTCATCCACCTGCAAAACTTCTGCACTCTCTGTTCTGGTATTTCAAAAATCCACTCAACCAGCCGCGCGAGTGTGAGTGTGTGCATGTGCATGCATGTGTACATGTGTGTGTGTTATACCTGGACACATGGCCTGCAGTGTGACATGACTCACTCGCAGTGTACTGCTCACGTGCCTTTGTGTAGACCCAGAGAAAATCAGGTAAAAGTCTGCTTCCTTC